TCGTATACGTCCTCTTTTATCCGTGGCTTCCTGTTAGGATGAAAGCTAGGCTGAAAGGATGGCCGTGTGATTGCTGCACACTAAAGTCTTTAATGGCTTTCAGCCTAGGGCCCATATCCCTGAGTGCGGACCCCTGGTGAGAAGGCCTAATCGCTGATGGTTTAATGGGCATCAGTCGGGAGGCAGGATGATCGATGGCCTGAGAAGAGTACAAAGCCACTGCTCCTTTCTCCAGCTGCCCATAACCCCGGAGACCTGCTGTGGCCCACTTCTGAGGCCCAGCCTGGCCCTGAGGCAGCACAAAGACAGGGACAGTGGCAGCAGTGCACGGCCTGGAAACATCAACCTCTCCCTAATGGCCTCTGCAGTGCAGGATGATAGGCAGCAAATGAGGGGCTGCCAAAAGAAGCACAACAATGAATGCAACGCAAAAAACTATTGAATGTAAATGGAACACATGCATGTCTATTCAAACTTAACCTATCTGAAATGTAGGTGATCAGCCAAGACATGTTGTTGTCCAATATTAGCTTCTTTAGCTTTGCGCTGGAGTGTCCATTTTTATAGATAAGTGTGTCATAAACTACATAAGTAAGTCTATTTGGACTTACTCTACTACGTGAAACGCTTTGAGGTAAGTGTGATGATTAAGGCTGGCAGTTTGCACAATGCTTGTTCCTTTACTTCTTAGCTACATTAGCCTTGTAGCTACAAAAGTAAAGAAGCAAACTTCAAATACTAAACATGAAACTCCGTTCAGGTTGCTTTTCATCTCAACTGAAATTAGAATCATATTAGAAAGGCAGTCGAGGCATCACATGGTAAATGTGAGGCTGGTGGAGATGGACCCATCTGGAGAGCTGCTGGTGGTGGAGCTGCTGTTCGTGGAGCTCCTGCCCTGCTCCCCAGCTGTCGCTCGGTCTGCCCGGCGGCTCTCCATTCTCCCCTGAGATCCCACAGGACTCATCTGCCTCGCCCCGTCCCAATAAGGCACTTATCAGTGGCAGCATGCAGAGCCAGGCTTTTAACTAAGAGTCAAAGCTACTGGGTTTTGGTTACACCCAGCATATGGATGTTTTTATTCTGAGTTCTAAGCACAGATGCCCCACTAAACAGATTTGGTTCCAATGAACAGACAGGCGGTTTAGTCACTGCTCACAAAATCAAATGTGGAGCAGGTGCTACTGGGTATTACTCAGAATGAGACGTCACAGGATGCAGTTAAAAGGGGCGGCTCTGCATGTTCTCGAAACATTCCACAAGACAAGACTGGTTTAGAAGTCTGCACAGGCCCTAAGTTAGCCTGTGTTAGTAACAGTCAGTATTTCATGACTGCTGCTTTCTTCTCCAAGGTGCACAATTAAATTAACATCTCAGAAATCAATGTCGTCAATTATTGATGAAGAAAAAGCAGCATCTGGATTGATTTTAAACTAAAGCTTAATTGACTGCTAATCCACGTGAAAGACTTACGTGAAAGATTTGCAATCTTTCTTGTGGCTTCACCACCCCACCCCCACCCCACCCCCAAGACTACTGATACATATATTTTTGCGCCTGCATATACACCAATCAGGCATAACATTATGACCACCTCCTTGTTTCTATGCTCACTGTCCATTTTATCAGCTCCACTTACTATATAGGTGCACTTTGTAGTTCTACAATTACAGACTGTAGTCCATCTGTTTCTCTGTATACTTTGTTAGCCCCCTTTTACCCTGTTCTTCAGTGGTCAGGACCCCCATGGACCCTCACAGAGCAGGTGCTATTTGGGTGGTGGATCATTCTCAGCACTGCAGTAACACTGACGTGGTGATGGTGTGTTAGTGTGTGTTGTGCTGGTATGAAACAAGGAGGTGGTCATAATGTTATGCCTGATCAGTGTAAACCTCTGCACACAATAATTATCAATGCATTTAACCAGTAACCCCCCGAAACAAACCAACACAGAAACAAAACAAGAAGACAAAATATAAAAAAGAACAATATAAACAAACATACTCATTAAAAGGGGACAGGAATTTGTGTGTGTGCACATACTTGCTGCTAATGTTGTACAGAGGTATTTAAATCTAGAGTCTTTAGAGGTACACTGTATGGCCAAAAGTGAGAGGACACCCGACCATCACACTTATATGGGCATGTTGGACATCTCAGTCTAAAACAATGGCTATTAAATTCATCCATCAGACTGACACATACTGAAGTGTGATTCATCACTCCAGAGAACACGTTTCCACAGCTCCAGAGTCCAGTGGCGATGTGCTTTACATCACTCCAGCCAACACTTGGCACTGTGCATAGTGATCTTAGGCTTGTGTGTAGCTGCTCGGTCATGGAAACCCATTACATGAAGCTCCTGTTGCACAGTTCACGTGCTGATGTTGGTTCCAGAGGCAGTGTGGAACTCTGTAGTGAGTGATGCAACCGAGGATAAGTTTTTTTTACACACACACAATCATAGCACTTACAGTTGACCAGGACAATTTTAGCAGGAAAGAAATTTCTTGTACTGACTTGAGCTAAAGGTGGCATCCTATTACAGTGCCATGTTTGAAGTCACTGAGCTCTTCACTATGACCTTCTACTGCCCGTGTTTGTCTATGGAGATTGCACAGCTATGTGCTTGATTATATACATCTGTTAGCAATAGAGATAGCTGAAATACCTTGACTCAGTAATTAGGAGGGGAGCAATGGGTGTGGCTGAAGTACCTGAACTCAATAAGGAGGGGTGTCCATGTACTTTTGGCCACATAGTGTACATTCAGATTAGGTTTATCTACGCTAAAATTCAGGATGTTACATTAGATGTTGTAGGTCAGCCTGTATTGTTGACAAGCCTAGCTGTTGTTTAGTCAGAAGTCCAATCATGCACTCTTTGGCTAAGACCCTTTTGTTACTGATCTTTTCCTCTATTTCTCTATCAGCTGCCACACTGTCCTTTACAAAAGCTACACTGCTCTCTAATGGTAATAGCTAAACCTGCATGTATCAACACTGTAAGTAATATTCAGGCAAACAATCTGGGACACAGTTTGAAGTCCTGGTTTCAAGTCCTGATTTACTCATATCAGTTCTGCATGTTTATTCAGCTTAGAGTGGTTTATCCTCACTCAGTCATAACTGAAGTTATAAAGACTGTTTCAGCCTGAACTGCTTTTTTAATGAGGCACAATAAAGGTCAACCACTCAGGACAGAGGTCATTTACCTCTTAGTACTGTGCAAAAGTCAGAATAAAAAATTATTTATCTGTGCAGGAAGCATTCATTTGCGCAAAAAAAAACAAAAACGTGACTATTAGAATAATTACAAATAACATTAATACAATTAATACAACAGTAACAAATGCTGCTTAGCTATAAAGGACAGAGATTGGAAAACAGTCATATAAGAACTAAACAAAAGTGGACCTCATAAACAATACAATATATGAAAAAGTAGGACTTCAGCCACGAAAATCAGCCATGTCTGTTCTTTGTTGTTAACCTGTCATGTTCTGGCTGTTCTGTCCTCTAGGTGTATGCTATACTCAAATGCCTGCGTCTGGACAGAGGCAAGGCAAATGCTGCATGGAGCTTGCAATGCAGTGGCTGACAGTGTAAAACACTGCTGAGCAGCTACACCTGGTGGCCACAGACCAAAAGTACAAATGCAGAGTCTACTTCAGCATTCCCATACCAATCCCAGCACACCTGTGTGAATTCTTCAGGTAATTATGGAGCTGAAACAGGTGTGTGTAAGAGCAGCCAAAGCACTAAACTGTGCCAAGCTATGAACTCTTAGACATATGAGAAACCTATGCTATTTAAAGAAGTTTTTGGGGTCATTTGTTTTCTGATCCTCTGTTTTCTACATACTCAGGGCTGGGTTTACATAGTTTAGAACACACTTAAAACACATTGGTGGAGGACAACAGTGCTGTAAGGTTTACTGTCCTCTCTGCTTTAAGACAACTCAATCAACTTAATTATCAAGCTTAATTATGTGAAATGGTTCATTATAGAGAAACTTAGTGACTCTGATTTCCTTACAGTGGCAGTGATAGGAACCAGGGGTCTACAATGCAAATAAAGATATTTTATTTACTAGCCCCAAATCACCAGTGAACCTACAAGTGTCTTCTGAGTTTTATATGCAATATTGATGGTAAAATAGTGGTAAATCTGGAACATTAAGTTTTATTTGGGGATCGTTTTGCTTCATAATGCCTTGCATATACCCCTCAATCAAAAAAAAAAGGGAGGGGGGGGGTTTGGCCAACCTATCGCAAAACAATGTCTAAGGCACCTTGCAGTATATTCAGAAATGTGTTACGTACCAGCTTTCAGTGAGGTACCTTTAAGAGGCTTTAAACTTCTCATGTTTGGATGCTGGTTCTTATCACCACCACTGTGAACAATTTTTACTCAGTAAGTTTCTCTACAATGGGGTATTTCACATCGAACCACTCCGAATGACTTCATGTTTTAACCATCTAATTATGCAGACATTTTGGAAAATTGAAGGAATCTCCTTTAAGTGATTTGATCATCCAGCACTTGTCTACAGAGACACACACAGCAGATGAGGAGTTTTAGCATGTTTTAATGGAGACACTGATTAACCTTATCCTGTGATGAGTACATTAATTTCCATAGTTTCCGACTCACAGCCAGACTTAGAAAAGAAAAACAGGAAGTATATCAATATGTAGCTGTTGCAAAACTAAGGTACATTATTTACAATTCAAAAACAAAACAAAAACAGTGCCATTGTTCCTTAGGGATGGGAGTGAACACTGAGGCCTGAAAATGACAACTTTTGAAGTTTGTCCCAGAATGACTTGGCAATCTGCTGTGGGCCCTCTCAGCCTCATCAGAGTACAAACGACAATTCAGCAACATCTGATATCTGTTACAAAAAAGAAAAACAAACAAACAAAAAACTTCATAAGGAAATAAACTAAATATTCAAAAGGACCAGGAAGGAAAATCTTCCCGATCTCAGTAAGTCTCTTTAATTATCACAAAATCATTAGACTCAAAGTCCCACGATCCATTGCAACAGCCCCTGTGCGAAGCCGTGAGGTTTAGCTGAAGTGCGTTGGCTGACTGCTCCCATTTGTGTGACCGCACAGAGCTTCGTCTGTGAGCCGTTTCCATGGCACCAGTGGTTAAGCCAGCCAGGTCCTGTCCATTATTAGGCATGTACAACAGAGAAGAGTACAACACAACAGGTCCCAGTCATTTCCTGCCTCGTTATATAGGTGGGTGAAGGACATGAGGGGAAACCGTGAATCTACTGCTAACAGCATCATCTGAGGTGGGGTGGGGTGAGGGGGTGCAAATAATATTCCTATCTAAAAACACAATACACCGTGTTGTGGCCATTTCGCTTGGAACCAAAGAGATACCAAGAGAACTGGGAGAGGACACTGCCGACGAGAAATACTGTAACTTTCTGTCATCCCTCTGTGTTTTAACTTGAGCTTAAACATAAGCTTAAGCTTTTCACTATTGGCCTACAGGGCATCTAATGCAGTAGTGCATAAATAAAAATAAAACAAAACCAACAACCATCACTTCTTTTCATACAGCTTCAGACCACCAGTCGCACCAATGATAATAATAATAATAATAATAATAATAATAATAATAATAATAATAATGCTTCAATGCAGGAAATTATTGCCTAAGGCATGATTCTATACATTATTTTTATTACATACTTTTGTAAGTGTTTGAGGAGAATAATCCTTGAATCTGCTACTTTGTTCCACAAAAAAAGAAAATAATGTACAACTTGATTATAGTAGTTTTGTGTGCCTTTAGTCCTTTTTGCCACATTTTTCACATTTTGACTCCAGATATAATATATTTTTCCTTTTACAGCTTTAACTCGTTGGCGATTTTTGAAGCGATGTTCTTAAATGCGATGGATGTTCCCGATATCCGCTTGAAGCGCACGCCGTTGAGCGAGAGGCGGGGCAGCTTGCACACCTCCATCTCCCACTGGACCAGGCTCTCAGCATGGCCATCGCCATGGACACAGAGAAGCAGGAAGCGCTCGCGTTGCTCGTAATCGCAGTTGTTGGCGTCCAGCACCTTGCGGATCTCGCGCATCATGTCGGTGGGCTCCATGGCTGACGTGGTCTTCATGCTCCAGGTGAAGCGCAGCGAGCGCGGTTTTGTGTCTTTATGATCCTCCTTCTGATCCCCAGACACGTTACGACTGCAAGAGAGAGAGGACAAGTTTTAATCTAGGAAAGTGAGCATGAGTGTGTGTGTGTGTATACATACGCTTGATTTGCCAGTTTTTTTTTTTTACATCTATAGTACTTCTACAATCACTGGCCATTTTATCAGGTACGCGTAGTATACAGTACTGTGCCAAAGGAAGAGACAATCCTTCTTGTATTTAATTAATATTTTTGCAAACTTTCAAAGTTTAGTCGTAAACTTTATAAACTTAAAAGTGCTTTTTATGATCCAAACAATCTCAAACATATCAAATGATGTTAAGGTCTGGACTCTGGGGTGGTCAATGTTATGAGAACCAGCAGCTTCTTTGTTTGATTTGCAAATTTTCTTTCTTTTTTTTCTTTTTCTCAGTAACAGCTTCTTGACAGGTACATATCCTTTCAGACTCATAGTGTTGAGTTGTCTTATCAAAGTGGAAGGATGGACAGAAAAACCTATGGATCTTGTCCGTTCTCAAACAGGAGTGGAACTTTAAGTGAAAGCTTTAGATACTGGTTATTTGATGCAACTGTGGTGGTCTGTCAGGTCTTGCTGCATTTCAAGAGTCCTGTTTTCTCTATAATCTTAAATTTATGGAAGCTCCTGTCCCCCCACTTGTTTTCCTTTGACTTTCCCCATCCTGAGGTAAGTGGATTATCCTATATCTAATCTCCACAAAAATCTCTCCTGAAAATGAATAACATACATAATGGCTATTTTAACTGGAAATTAAATAATTAAAAGATGACTTTTGCACAGTTCTGTCCTTACGGGTGTACTTTGTAGCTTTATAAATACTGGCTGTAGCTCATCTGTTGCTCTGTAATATGCCACCCTGCCCCATGCATCAATGATAAGGGACCACCACAGGACCATCACTAACCAGACATGATTTGAACAGACAGGAGTGTACTAACCACAACCCAAGTAACTGAAATTCGGTCAGTTGTTGTCAGTGGTGGTTCCTTTCTGTTTATGAACAGGGTAGAGCGTGGCTGCAAAGTGAATCGATATGGTAGGTGTACCTAATGAAATAGCCAATGTATGCAAATACAAGTTAAGTCTACTTTATAAACTGGCAACTCCAGCTGTACACTGTGCAGAAATGAAAGATGATAACAGAAATGAAAGATCAGCACTCAGAAATGAGTAATAAATTTGTGTAATTATCACTGATTAACAGAGCATGGCCTAGATGCGAGCAGTGATACTAGTGCTGTAACTTCCGCAATGTTCTTCTTAAAACAACATATCCATCCACACATCCACACATCCATGCATGGGAGCACATCATGCAGGAATACAAACAACACCATGCAGACATCGGCTCTGCATGCAAACACAGAAGAATGACACGAGAGGCACAAATAATTCACTATAGCAAAGAAAAAAATATCCATAACACAACAGGATATTACGGTCACTCCCCAAGGCAGAGCTGGAGATTGCAATTGGGGCTCTACAGACCTTTTAAACAAAAGCATCTGTCTACCCCCAAAACAAATGTCAGTTTACAAAGCCAACCAATAAAACAGATACTAAGGCCAAATAATCATTGTGCTTTGAACTGCAATGGCACGTTCTGTCCACAAGGTGGAAGCACAGAAAGGACAACAGAGCTGGACTGTCCCATTTCAGACATGAACCAACATGTCCACCAACGCTTCAATTTTAGTCATTGCATTGTTTTAGACAAGGGGTGTCTAAAGCGTTGGCCCACCAGACCCAACCCCCTCATCTAGTGAGAGAAAAAGCTAATTTTTACACTCTATATAACCTAAATTCTTATGTTCCCTTGTACATTTCTGTTTCTGAAGTATTTTAGTACAAAAGTAGTAGAATGCTATAAAACAATTTTGTTAAAAAAAATCAAGATTTGAAACCTACCTACACTTATATACTGTTGTCTTTTTGCCCCTTTTGGGCAACGCTGTTTTAAGTACAGTATAAGTAGCTCCCAATTAAGGTCTTGAAATACCCCTGTCCTGCATATTTTGGTGTGTTCCTTGCTTTAACAGACTCATCACCTAATCAACAAGCCCTTTCTTAATTGAAGTTTGTTTGTTTGAGCAGAAAACACTAAATTGTGCAGAGACGCGATACTCCAGGAACAGGGCTGCAAAGCACTGCACTATATGGCTGATTTTATACTTGTGTGGTGGTAGAGAAATGGCAGTCTAAATCTAAGGATCACACCAAGTGGAAACAGTGCTACCCCCTGGAGGAGTGCTCCAGCTCTGCAGAGGCAATGGATGGGGGGAACAGTGAGAGAGAGGATGAGGAACACTGCATGAAGCTGTAAGGCTAAATTGGATGTCCTGTCTCACCTTGAGCCCTCACATCTCCCATTTCTCTCAAACTCTGCTGGAACTCTTTAAAACCAGGGCAAAAGAAGAACAAAGGTCAGAGGTAAAGACACATACAAAAGAAGGAAAAGGCCTAGTGGCATTGGGGAGAGAAAAAAAATGGAAAACCCTAGAAGAAAAGGAGGGAGCGTATTTATTGCTTTAGAATGGAGAAAGCCGACGAGCATCTCCATGTTCAATTTCCTGTGCGTGAGGGAGAGGATATTGGACATGCACTCAGACGAGCAGAAAGTGATAAAAACAAGCAAAGGGGATTCTTCGGCTGCTTTTCCTATAGCCTATGATTCAACTTCCTGTTCTAAACAGATCACATGCAGTGCCAGTTGCTCCATCTGGCACTCCCTCCTTCTGGCTCTCTCAGAGAAAACAGAGAAGAAAAACAGAGCAGAAGCACAGGAAGAAATTTTGCAATGTGTGGTCTTGAAGGACAAAGAGCTCATTTGCTTTAAACTTTTGACTAATTAAAGACATAAATCCACATGAAACACACATGAAATCTAGCACATGCAGATATCTATATTCAGATATATGCAGGTACATATATTCCTTTGCATTAATGACAATGGAAAAAAAAGATTATTTTTTTTACAACAAAAATGCAGTAAGACAGTAAGAAATAAAAGCTGGAGTGGAGATGGAGAGAGGTCATGCAGATGGAGTGGTGGACATTGGGCTGGACTGACTTAAGGGCTGCACCCAAAATTGGCAAGTGATTCATTATTTGCAGATAAATGGGGAATTATGTAAGTGTGATGTGGGAATTACAGATGATAATTACAACAGATAAATTAGTGCCGTATTTTAGTTTATGTGGGCACTGACATATATGTAGTCACTTTTTTCCTGCCCGTTCAAATAAAGCATAGTGGACAGGACCATTGCCCCAACAAACATACACAGCTTTATCAATAAGTGTCCTCAGGCTAGAGTTACTTTTACTTACCAATTTATGTTAAAATAGAAGCCTGTCAAATAATGTAAAATATTTACACAAATACTGTGATTACGCGATTGTCATGGCTATTAAAAATTATATCAGTTAGTTCCGAACTTGCAATGTGATTGGCTGAGAGGCAATCCTATGAGTGCCGAATGCATCTCCTTAAGTATCACTCTGCCTTTCGCCTGTACCAATGACAACCACTAGTAACGACCACAACTTTATTACAAGTAATAAGCCAGTCGAAAAGAACTAATGACAGCAAGTGATCCAAGTGGCCAACAACTACAAAACAAAACCTCTCCTGTTGTAATCAACAAAGCTGTTTTTACTACACGCGAATGGCGGAGCTCAGTTTTTGACGGACGGCATTTATATTTTTGGAATGATGTGTTGTGCTGGTGTTCCACCTTAAAAATACTGGCTTTTGTCAAAACACAACAGCCAAAAAAAAAAAATCCATGAGGTGAAGAACAGTGAAAAGTATGACTCTCTAATTTTTATAAGGACATTGCTAGCCTGCTGGAAGTTTCAGTTAGTAATTGCTGTCAGCTTCTGATATCGCTTTCAACTGTGTTACATGTATAAGTACGTAGCTTGTTCTTTCAAGCTATTAGTTGATAAGTTTATAGTTATTATAGTTATAAATACAAACAATGAAAGTTACTGGTATCAGTATCATTATCATTATTGGCCCAGAAATTCTATATCAGTGCATGCATAGGGGGAGAAGCCCCAGCACTGGGCACAGCTCAACTGGCAAACTAGTGAAGCTCTTCTGCATAAAAAAAATAAAAACCAGACCGCGCCTCTGTCCACTCGTAAATGTCTCACTTCAGCTGAAGCAGTAAGCATTTCAAAACCCCTATCTCCAATAAAGTGGTGTACAAGACGTTAGCAATGCTCTTGGCTACAGTAGCGATCTTCATTCTTTTATGGTAAAACTGGAGAGCAGTGATGAAGGTGTCATAAACAAAAAGAGCGGGTGTATGATGGAGGATGCAAGAGACGAGCACAAGACTTACATTCCACCTGAAAGACTTACTGAGGAAAAAAAAACTGTTTTACAATGCTAAGACATTCTTTGGGGATTTGCTGTGGTTTAATGTGTGAATTCAGCAACCTAAGAGTAGAGTGTAGAGTCCAAGCCCTTTTACAGTGAGGCTGCAAGGCCTTGTTTAGGAACACTCCGCCTGGACAGATTTGGGGAGAGCTGACAAGGGCAGGTCAGAAGATTTGGGGCAAACTCTACAAGTAGGACAGGATACTGGGACATCGGAGCAGGGCCAGAACGAGAGGAGGGTATCGTCAAAATGAGCACCCGAGTACCTGAACTCCAGAAATCTTGTAATGAACCACCTCTCAATCGCCACATCTGTCAGCGGCCAAATTTAGCGCCCAGTAGGGTGGCCTGAATTACACAACCAACAACATCTCAGTATGAAGAAATAATACTGAAGTCTGAAGTTCATTGCCCACCTACAGTGAAGAGGTAATTCAAAAGTGAAACAGCACACTAAAATGTGTAACACAAAAAACACAACCGTCATGAAGATACAGGTTTTCACCAGTGAGTATTTTTAACTACTAAAAAGTCACAACACACAGTATCTTTATCTGATCCCACAGGATCAGATCTCATGCCAGAAAAAAATGTAAAAAATAAAGAAATTAGAGTCAGTTCATAAATGTGAAACACACATCCTCACTGAAAAAGAAGCAAACCATCATTAAAAGAACAAAATGAGGTGTACATAGGCATAATAAAAAATAAGTGTGTGTGCACATTTCCATCCTGTGGAGAGGCATGCATATGTGATTAGTGATGAGTTTCTGCTCAGTCGGCTTCTGCTCATAAAAGGATGGCAGAGATTTCGGGCATGCTCAAACACACTCCGATTAAGGCACGGGGGACAAGGAGTGAGTATCAGGCAATTAATTCAGCGCTCTGCCACACTTGGTTAAGAGTTAAACTCAAATATTCAACTCATGGTCAAACTGGTTGGTTAACTGCACACAAAGCCGAATTAAGGGTCCTACCTTTTGGTAAATCTGAATGACATGTTTCTACAAAACAGACAGACAACGCAAGAGGCGTCAATCAAAATCTAGATTCCAAAGGGAAAACAGTACCAGAGATACAAAAGCTGTAAAATAGCTAATTTTTTTCTGTGTGTATTAACCTAAGTGCTGGAGACATGTCATGAAGCAATAAACTAAAAGAATGCATGAAGACTGTAACTGTAGTTTGTGTTCAGCTTGAGCTTGCATAAAGTGAGCACTGGATGAATGAAGGAGGACATGAAACTACACTGACAGGTGAGAACATGTTTCTTCTGGTGGTTTTCACTAGGGCTGCATGATAAGGACAAAATGTGATATCGATAAATTGATATAGGTGTTGGATACTGCAATGACAACGAGGAGTGACAAACCATTATTAAAATATACGAGTTCTGTGCATTTCTGACTGGGGCTGCAGCAAATACAGGCTGTAGTTTTTCTTTTTCTATGTAATTAAACCAGTTATTTCCTTATGGTCATGCAGGTTTGTTGCGTTTCCTACCACTGCCTTGGGACTAAGATCAGTCATTCTCTTTAAAGTGTTTTTACATGCTACAACACAGTTGTTCAGCTGTGCACATGGGTTTGTTTTGTAAGCGGGAGGTAGGACGGGGTTCAGTTCCCTCTCAGGCAGGTACACTACTGGTCTAGTGTCGGCATGACTCCCAATGCTATATCCCCCCAATAATGTCACTCTGGCGTTGTCTGAGTGGAATGTAATTTGATCCATTCTATTATTACAGCCCTTTAAGATGTGTTTATCACATAAACTCATATCAAGATGACAACATTAATCATGCAGCCATAGTTTTCACTATAATGTAAAGTCCACCATCTACTCTTTACAGCTTGGTGAATTCTGACTAGAGATACCAAGATAGAATGACCACTTTTTCTTCTTAAAACAAAGAATTTCAACTGACGGGTTTAAAGAAAGAGTGAAAGGTGTGTGCTCTAAATTACACATTTAGAAAAAACAAACAAAACCAAAAAACTCCTAACTCCTAAACTTTTAACTACTTTTTAACTACTATTTTTGAACAGTATTCTCAGTTGAAAGAAATCCGTTCTTCAAGATTTCCTAAAATCTGGTGTAGTAGTGTAATCAGCAATACTGATTTAGCTTTGAGATGTGTGTTCCTCCTGCAGAGCATGTGTATTTTGCTTACCTGCGTGTGAGTTTGGAGGTGAGCTTGGTGAAGAGGTTGGTTGAGCCTCTGCTGCGTGACTGGGATAGGGGTGTTGCATCGTGAGAGAGTGTGGGGGAAGCGGGTGGTCCATTATACGTGGCTGTACGTCGCTCCCTCAACTGACCTCCATGGAAGGTGCTACGACTTGCTGTGCCTCGTGGGAAACGCAGACGGTCTGGTGGTGTGGCACTACTGATACTATGGGTGGATGCCCCAGGGTTTCGCTGGCCAGGGGCTGTGGTCGTACTGAGGAAGAAAATTTTACAAACATAGGTACAGAGAGCGTTTGTTATGACAGTACTGAAAAAGGGCATCAAAGAAACCTATCCTTCAATGTCCCTTTTAATGCATATTTTACCATATTTCAAAACAAGTACAGAAGTCAATATAGAAGAGAGTTAAATTAAAACATGACAGTGTAAAAAGAATGCAATTTCTCGTTTTAATGAAAAACAATTACTGCCAGTTCCCAGAATCCAAACCCTTGGCATGCTACCTTTCCTGTAAGCCACAGGGCCAGAGATAAGGACAGACTCACTTTGATCTTTCTTGTGCAAAAATTACTCATGGAACCAGGAGGATATAAATCCTCTGAGCCGCTTCAGCCTCAATTTGTATTCATGCCGCTCACTTTTTCATCAGTTTCTTTGGTAGGACAGCAGCAAAATCGTGGTTTACCCTTGACTCGCTTATCATTTCATTACACATTCATTCTTACACGCAAGAGATCTTACCTGGGCCAGAGATGTGTTTTACCACAAATAACATCTCACTGACATCTCTGTTTATTTAGGTAATTTAAACACACTGTCAGAGAGATTTATTAATCTCTATTAGATGCAATTTAAAATGGCTACTTAGATATCTATATTACAAATAATAGAACTTATCAATAAGATTAATCCTCTTAATTGTGTGCTCTATATTAGTGAAGTTTATATCCATTATAAGTGCAAGTAGTGGGTTTAGCAACACATGGGTAGTTAGTGCAGACGGTCTGAGTGGAAAGAACAAAGAAGGATCTTCTCATACAGGCCGTCATGGATTAGTTGACACTCTAGTGGGTGATGAAGTAGGAGGAGCTCCATACAGTGAGTAGCTGGTGAAAGGCCGTTATAGATTCAAAGACGCAGACAGTAGAGAGGTCAGAGGGCGTTAGAGGGAGTGGAGGGGTTGGGCAGTTAACGGAGGGGCACTGTAAAACTAGAGACAGACGCAGGGCTCGTCTTTACTTGGGCCTGAAGAGTTCGGCAGGGCAGTCGCTAGGGGGCAACGTGGAGCGACAGGTGTGCCCCGAAGCGGAAAACGCAGTGGCCCTCTGGTGCCGTAGGCGGACTGAGGCGGATGAAGCGGTGAGAGCGGCGGCATACGTTGATGGACTTGTGGCGGCACACGCTGACATCTCACTCAGGCTGGCCAACGGATGTGAACAGGCCGGTGAAATCAGCAGTGACATGAGCAGAGAAACTCCATTTTAACAAAGCAAGACAAAAACAGTAACAGAAATGAACAGAACAAAAGCAAGGCAGATAGAGAGAAAGTGCTATGAGCTGTCCGTTCTGGATCCTTTCCATTTTGGCGAGACATGAATTTTTGGAAGCAGCAGCAGAGCAGGACAGTTACGAGTGGTGGAAGAGCAGGGCGGCCAATGCTCACATATCACTAGAGATAGTTAGCAAGCCATGTGCACGCGAAGTGACTGCAGCTTCAAAGCTTTTATCCTCGTCCAGTTCAAGGCCTGGAGCACAACAGGGATTTAATATTATAAAGGGATGGATTTATCTGATTTAATAAATGGATATATGGTATTGGACTTTATTTACAACTACAATTTCAGGACAGGACCAAACCAGACTACTAAAAGAAAACTGTATGGACTATATGTGATTTTAAGAATTACATGATAGTACAGCTGAAGAAACAGCTAACGCCTTATCAATGTCTTCTATAATAAAAGTCCTAAAATAGTGATTTGAGCTGTTTCTCTAAGCATTGATTAAGCATAAAGTAATCAATTTGATCTCTTGATCTCACTTGATCTATCAGTAAGGTGTCTTTTTAGACTGCTTGAGCTTAATTTGTATCTGGAAAACTGTACCAAGGAATTACAAAGCTACTAACTGTGCATACACTTGAACTGTGAATAAATTTAACAGCAATGTTTGAAATAAAAATCACGGCACTGGCTATTTTCCAGCCAAGGTTAAAATCGAGAAGCCCAGGCCAACTGAAATCTGTATGAAATGGAAGTTCAATTGAAAGCTAGGAAATAGAGTCTCCTGGGCTTAGAGAACGCTCAGAGCAAGTCTTTAACTGAAGCGCCATCTCCAAGTCTCCAGCTCAATTTGGTGTGGAGGCATATTGAGCTCCTAGAGGCGGAGTTTCTAAAAAGTCTTTAAGGAGAAGATGTACCCAAATAAAAAGCTTGCGTATGTGAGGGCTGTGGGATGTGGGACAAAATAGAAGAAATGGTTCCTGCTTCTTTGCCATCACATGCAACTTGTGAGTGAAGTTCATTTCCTGCTGTTTTTGGTCACTGACCATGTGTTCTGATTTTTCACCTGAAGATGTGAACTCACCTGTTTTCTTTGCCATTCTGTATTACAGAGTGGCGGTCCCCAGCGTTACGTTCACTACAGACGTATGTATTTCTCCTTGTCATCCCCCCGGACACAGAGTTACTCTGCAGAAAAAGAATAGCATGTAAAGCCAGAGGCAACACAAATCTTACAAGGGTTTACTAGCTGAGAAAAAAAAAAGAGAGAAGGGGGAAGGAAAACTGATAACTCTGTGAAACGGTCAGGGAGTCAAAATATACTCTGGTAACAGAGGTACCAAACGTTACCTTATTAAAGACTATTTTGAAGTACAGTTTCTGTATAACTAACTAATATATGTTTCTGTATAACTAACTAACCCCAGGAGCAGTAGAGCCCTTTTTGCGATCAGGAATGTCAGCCTTGTTGGGATTGTTGGCGTTGCCCAGCAAGGGGCTGGGCGGGGCCATGCCACGACTACCAGAAGAGCTAGACTTGCGTGGCTGGACACTGCTCTCCTCTTTGTGCTCATTATCAGCTGTGGTGGTCTGGCTCCTTTTGGGGTAGCCCGCTGAAGGAATTGCTGGACCAGCTGTGCACAGAAAGGAAGAGACAGATAAGGAAAAGAGAACAAAAGATCAAGAGTTTTAAAAAATGGCCAACATTTTTGTGGACTTTGACTGCTTTAGAGTATACAGTCTGAAATAATTACAATGTAGGAATGCAGTTTAAAGCAACTGGGCTGGCAAGAGAAGGATGACAGAGCTCACCTTGGTCACTGTAACGGCGCTGTTTCTGGTTGGAAACGCTCCTCTGAACTTTGAGGTGAGATGGTGACTGGCCATTATTGTGCTCACTGTTGGGTCTGGCTTTGGCCAAAGACAGGTTACTGCTAGAGCTGGAGTCGCTGGCCTCCAACTGAGACAGCACCAAAGAGGAACACAATTACTTCTCATATTTTCATATTGCAGCTCATTTGTATTTATGTTGGAGCACAAACTCCCTCTTGGGTCAGAGGGCTAAGTGAGTTGAAACATTCACATTTTTAGAAACGCTCAAATGTCTTGAAACAAACAAGATTCATTAAAGCTAGGTAAAACAATTTTACAGATAAAAGCAAAGCTAATTTGCGGTTGCACCATAGTTCCTTAAAAGTCACACTTTGACCATGTGGCTAATCATGTGACTAGCAGTCAGTTACTAAAACACAACTAACAGAGGGGGTGTCAAAGGCTGGACATTATGAGAACTAAATGACTCATACAAAACACCACACATTTTACTAAAGTGAATCAGCAGGTCAACATCCATGATATACCATAAAAATGTACCATACAAAAAAAAACTTTACAAGTAGGCACACAGGCTTAATCAAACTTTGTCCAGAAGGAGAGATATATCTCTAACCAAGAAATCCTTCACCAATAAAACCACCTACAGATATGTAGCTCACCAAGCCTTGTTCAGGAAAACCTATACACACAGAGATAAAGCTCATATCCAACCAAAGGTATTCCAAAATACAGACCTCCTCAAACATGATATTTAGGACATCAGTCCTGTCAACCATGAATCCATTTAAAGCTGTATACTACACACCTTAAAAGAGTACACTGATCTCCTTTAGCCAGGTTTCAAAACAAGCTGCACAGAATATACTGACACACAACTTCAGAATACCAGGCTCTGATTACTGTGATCTCCTAGAAGTTACTTACCTCTGTGGGCTTCCTCCCCAGTAGTAGGTAAGTGGCAGTGATCTCATCATACTTCATCCTGGTAAGAGACTCATGGATCTCCTCGCGAGAATAACCCATCCCCACCATTATGTCTGTAAAACATAACACACTTGTGTTAGATGAAGGGAGTACACACACAGAAACAAAGTGCCAGTATTCCCTGTGGCAGAGCCTGATTAGGCCCAAACTCCATCAATCACACAGACCAGTAGAATTAAACCGTTTAAATCGCTTTGCACAGTTCTGTGCACAAGTCAAAGACCACCCTTCACTAGTTTAATTTCTAGTCAAAACAGACATTCAGCACTTGTTCGTTTTTCAGGAGATATTTCTGAGGAGATTAAATATAAGACAATCCACTGGCATAAGAAAAGGGAAAATAAAAACAGAAAAAAGAATAGGTAAAATAAAAACAAGAGTTTCCAAAACTGGAGTTAACAGAACTCCTAACAATTAAGTAAACAGTACTTAAAGCGTTTGTCTTTGAGAGACAGGAGAAAATTAAGCTCTACTCTTACAACATATCTGAAAAAAGTCCACAGGAGTTTCTGTCCATCTTATCATTGTAAGAAGATGAATTGACGTTATGGGTCTGTCAGGACAGGTAGCTAAATTTGCGAATCAAACAAAGAAGCTGGTGGTGTTCTCAGAACAATGGACTGGCCATTCCAGAGCCCAGACCTCAACATCATTGAATGGGTTTGGGATTACTTGGATTATGAGAGGCAGAAAATGCAACCATCTTCTAAGAGTGCTATACCAAAGGCAAAGAGTAGACTGGAAATTAAATGAATGGAGGATAATCTCTAACTTTTGCACAATACTATATTTGGGGAGTCAATAGTTACAGTTCAGTGATTCAATCAAACATAAAATTAACACCACAAATCACTGTGATATTCAAAATATCAGCTATGTTCTGCTTCTCTCTGGATAATATGCATGTCCTAATCATCTGATCTAAGCTTCACTTTGCAATTCACAAAGTTAAAGAAGAATCACAAGAAAAAGGCCTGGAAAGCAGTATTAGTTGTGTCAGCGGACACAGACCCAGCTCTAGTAGTAATCCTAGGACACAGATCTGTTTCTGATTCTATCAATGGTTTGAAGGGCAGATTGCCCAGAGCAGCAGTGGAAAGTACAGGGTCTGCCTGGCCTAAGCACCATCGACCCTTGCATCACTCAGATGGAGCTGTAGCCCAGGGGCACATTAAGCACTGTCTGCCTCACGTTGAGGGAAGCATGCCAGACTAATGCTTTGGTCCTGGTTGAGGGAAAGTGCATATAGCCCCACATGCACACACACACAGACACGTGCCTCAATGAAGGATCTCACAGGAGGTTGCGCAATACAGTAAGGCCAAAAACATCAAAATTTGTGGTTTGCCCTTGACACAGCACTCCCTAATCTGACTCAACTTCCAAACCTCAACACACCCCCGAAGTACCACTTTGCCAAACTATCTAAAGCATATGAGAGAGTAGAAAGATTTCATTACTTGAACAAGTCTTGCTTTAATTACATCTATTTACTAGAAGATCACATGGAGCCTCCAAGCATGGGTATTAAGTCATCTTCTTGTCAGTGGATTAGGAAACAGCTGAATCAATCATAAATTCAGCCAAAACACTGTGCATTTCATGGTCAATATGCTGAAACCTTTTAGTTACACAAAGAGAACGAGTTTTGATAGATGAAACCACAAGCCCGGGGACAACGTGACTTCCACTTTTCTGTTCAAAACAATTATGTGGAAGGTCACAGTGGAAAGACCCAGATTATCGCCCAGATCATAAATCTAATACGCTATTGTGGCTGCTTAGGGTTCAAAAACCAGGTGTTTGGTGCTATACCTATTCTCTTCTGGTCCGAGATGTCAAGCTCTGGTTCCACAAAGGGCTTGAGTTCATCCTCCTCAAAGCCAGCGTTGATCCACCGGTCCTTCATGATTTGCTGAAGAGGATACACAGAGTTGCATGACAGTTTCTCTTCAGCTTGTATAAAGCTGAGCAATATGAATACTGAGTGTGACTTAGGAGATACAAAATAGGGGATAAATAGGAGAGGGCGTACTAGAACGGGGGGATGTTTCATGCATGAGAACTGTTTAAACCATTATTACAATGACTTGGACAAAAGTGTGAAATTCAAAAGAATCTTGCACAGGCTACACTAATTAGTATAAACCAGTTCAGCTAATGTAGTACCGATGAATTTTGCTTTACAAATACAAACATACGTTCAGGGTATATACATGTTAGTGGTGTTGATGGATTTGTCGGTTGTATGCAAACATCTTTATTCATCTTATTCCTCTCTTCCTATAAACACAGAGTCCATGTCACTGCTCCTCATGTTTTTTGTGATGTTTAATGTTATTTATTACAGTTTTAATACAGTTTAATACAGTCTAATACAGGAAATGCAGCAGCAAAGTGCTTCTATTAAGGGGGGGTAACAAAGCACTCGTGTAAGCCCTTCGCTTGATACTCTTAGTAAGGCATATTGGGGCTCTTCCATTATTCAGGAGCTAAAGAGATGTTTTGTTCTGAGCAGTGTGGTGTATCCACTTGGTGTCATGCTCGCTGGCAAGAATCTGCACTTAAGACTACAGCATGGTCCGGTGACAAAGCCTGCAGGACACCAGCAGTTACCCTGACCTCTCTGACTCTGACTATCCACTGCCTTTGGTGCTGGAGCTGTCATTCAGGGCCAGTGTGTGCTAAACTACGTGAACTGAGATGTTTATCAGCAGGCTGCCAGTGTCATATAGTACTAATCAAGTGAGCAAAAGCATGGGGGTGAGAGGAGTGTGGAGGAGGGTGTGGCAGCGTGACAGGCCAAGGAAAGGTGGTTTTCGGGGGTTTAAAGTAAATCTGAGCATATTTACATTTTCGCTGTCTTCTCTCACCTCAAGTGTGCCCCGCTTGGCTGGGTTGAGAACCAGGAAGCGCTTGAGGAGGTTTTCGCAGTCAGTGGACATGTAGAAGGGGATGCGATACTTCCCCCTCAACACTCGCTCCCGCAACTCCTGCAAAAGGGGCAGAGGTTGGCATCAATCAGCATACAAACTCTGGAAAGATAATCAACATACAGCTAGAGCAGTGGCAACGGGTATTAGGCAAACAACAGACAAACTGAAGTTAGGGGTGCAAAATATAGCAGCAGCTCATATTATTTTTGCAGATAAATGGGAAAAAGTATTTATTATTATCGGTCTGATACTGCAAACAGAGCCAATAATTACAAACATGAAGCATTAATGTTCGGCATTTCCTTTTTAAGTCACTGACAGCATTAGGGATATAAATGATTAACTAATTAATTGTTAACTGAAAAATGATCAATCATTCGATTAATGCTACTGTTTTAAAAAAAATATCTATATCATACATCAACTGAGGACACATACAGGTGCAATAGGGAACTGGTTCTGCTACACAGGCCTGCTAAACAAAGTGACACGCACAGCCAAAACAGTGGTGTTAGAGGCCACTTAGGGGTGCAACAAATATTCGTTAATATTCAATACATTTCAAAGATAAAATATTCAAAAAGGGAAAAGCCATTCATAGCTGTTCAATGCTGACTCCCTGTCACTTGGCACAGCTTATAAGACTCCTGCGATTCCAGGTGGGAATGTCAGTTTTAACTCTCGGTGCTGTCCAAATAAGTTTCCTGCTTCTCCAGATTGCTAGGAAAATCATTCACACTTCACCAGGTGTTAAAGCCAATGTGGCTGATTTTAGTATGTGCTCCAGTACAATGTGGTTTTGACTGGCTTAAAAACCTTAATTACTTTCCCGTTCACTGACAACAGTTCATCAAAAAGATGATGGTCACTGTTTCTGCTTTCCGCCACCACTCTATTTTGTTCAGAGCCAGAACAATGTCAATGTGAATGATGTCACATCTATGTAAAATTAATGAATTATCCAGCTTTGGAGTTTTATCCTGTCCTATGCTCACTGCATTTCATATACGGATTAAAGTGTGGATTTGTTTTACAATAGGCTGTTATTATTATCAAACCAAAAATTATATAAACGGAAGACAAATGTGGTCCAGAAACCACACCTAAGGATGTACTTGAATAGTTCTCTCCTACTTCGCAGAACCAAGCCTTAAGATCAGTAACCTTTTGGAAGAGGGCAAGCTAACCTTCAAATTCTGGCCGTCAAAAGGCAGCGATCCGCTGACCAGCGTGTAGAGGATGACTCCCAGGCTCCAGACATCCACCTCAGGCCCGTCATACTTCTTACCCTGGAAGAGCTCGGGGGCGGCGTATGGTGGACTGCCACAGAATGTGTCCAACTTGTTGCCCAGTGTGAACTCATTACTGAAGCCAAAGTCCGCTATCTTAATGTTCATATCTGCATCTAGCAGCAGGTTCTCTGCCTGAGTATGACAAAGAGAACAATAACACATCTTTCAACAATGTGTTTGCGTGTATATATGTATGTAAGAACACCACAGTGAATGCAAACATAAGATTTCAGCCAACTGCTAGAATTTCACACTGACAGGTGGAAAACCTAGCAAAACATGTATCTAGTGTCTTTGTAAAGCCTCAAAAACCTACTCTCCATACTTCTCAGTAAACACTTTTGAGGGAGGAAGGGGAGAGGGGGCAAAGCATCATGTATGCATCATGTATCAAACTGAAGCAAATAAAGAGGAGAAAGCAGATGTGTGTTTCCACCTGGTCCCTGAGACATGCGGCTGTGAGGCAGCCCTCATCTCATGCATCATTTAGAACACATCGCCCTGGAAACAGGGTGTGTAACAGAACATAGAGACTCAGACGGAGATGGACAATAAGCTTCAGTCAATTCCCTCTTCAATCTCAGTATCTGCTCTAGGGACTGTGCTATTGGACATACTACTACAAAATTTTCAACCTTCTTTACACTGTCAAAAGTTGTTCTGCAGAACAGCTGTACTTGTATGGAGAGGCTACAGGCTCTATAAAACTTTAGTCAGCGCTAAATGCAACTGCGTAATCTTATGAAGCAGGAGAGCAAATAGCTCATCAATTCGTTACATCCTTCAAGTGTGATTACACAGCATTAACTAGAGGAAGCTCTTAAAGTGGAATTCCACTGATTTTTTAAAGAATTTCTACATCATTCAGTTGTTATGATGTAAATAAAACCATGAGTTGTCTTTTGCGAAATGCACGTCTTGTGCGAAAGCGCAACGAAACATACTGACTCAGATTTCCTTTACAATGCTGGCGATAGGTACCATGTGTCATTACGTCTATGACACAAATGTACACATTTTATTTATTATCCAAACTGACCAGTGAACCCACACATGCCTTCTGAGTTCTTCGGGTACTATTTCTCTTACAACACCCTGCTATGAATGGATCAGGCCAAAACCATGTATTGAAAATGGTCATAAAACAGTGGCATCAGGCAGCATGTTTGTAACCAATTCATGTAATAGATTAATGGAAATTAGCTTTAAGGTATTAATGCTTTGGACATCTGGTTCCTATAACCACTACTGTGAACAATTCTGACTCAGTAAGATTTTCTAGAACAGAACGTTTCACATCAAGCCACTACTGATTAAATTATGCAGCACATTTTTAATATTCAGTAGAATTCCCCTTTAATCACAACAGCATGAACACTGTGCCCAGGAATCACACATGTAATGCAAGTTATAACCAGGCATTACACTTAACACTTAATAACAGAAGGACATTGGTAGAAAATTCATTAAAAAACAAAAAAAACAAAAAAAAAACACTAAAGTGTAACAGCAGCACAGGAAGACTAATCCTACACCAGAAAAAAGACAATCTGCAAAGAGACAGTGCATCAGACAGGATCTTCTGTCAGTGTGCAGTGACCTTTGCATGCTCTGCAGTGTACACAGTACAAAACCTGCCACACATTAAACTGAACACATTTGGTTCACACGCTAATATAATCTGATAGGTGTGTGAGGGGTGGACAGTAAGTAAGATAATACTTTCAAATCAACTGTGACAAGAGATGAGGTTGTAAGAGAAGGCTGAGGTGACAGTGGCCTGATCTTACCTTGAGGTCTCTGTGCACAATGTGTTTTTGATGGCAGTACTGTACGGCTGATACAATCTAGGAAAAAGATGGGGAAAAGGCAAAAAAGCAGCATGTTTAGCAGGCCGAGGTGGACGGCACAGAGACAAATCGAACAACAGAACCTAGATGTGGAGTCGAGTGTGAAAGCCAATTAGCCACATCGACTGCTACAGCCACGTTTTCCCAGAATCCCATTGATTGGGCCTGAGGCATGTGGATGGTCAGACCTGCTACGTGGCCTAGAGTGAGCCGGATGGAGCCATAGAAGGTCTTATGCCCAAAGGCTAGCTCCTGGGAGGAAGCGGATCTCATCATTTTGATGGTTTCAGTTTTCTTTGATAATTTGTTTAATTTTATTTACATATTTTTGTCAAAGAAAGGGAACATGAACATTTTAAAATGAAGAACACTTATGTTCCGAAACTTGATCCGAAGTCAAAAATATTAACAAAGGAAATGGGATGCCAGAAACTGCCAGATCATCTTGACTCAACTTCCTTCATTCGTCACAGCACACTGCACGAACCCATGCAAGTAAGCTTTATCATTCTTTATGTTTCTACCAGTTTTTGTATTCAAATATCTAAACATTTGTGTTTTTATTTTGTAAACTCAAACCTTTCTTCCTGTATGTTAGGAAATTTCATACTATTTTTCTGAAGCCCCTGAAAATGTGGTCTTAAAAGTCCCAATATTACACATTTGTGACACAAAGCCGTATTTCCTGATTTCCCTTTGTGTGACAGTGGAAGGATCTGGAAGTTTTCTTGTGATGCTTAAATGTGTGACTAGCGCTCTAGCACTGACCCAGATAAGCTGTCTCCACAGCAGCTACAGCAGTGCAGCCCAGCAGGCTGAGAGTCAGACAGAGAGTATGAGGAGGGGGAGGGGCAAGGGAGACCCTGGCTCTGTAACTACACACGACTGGCTGAGTTTGTGTCCCAGCGGTGGGCAGATGTTGCCCTGCCCACCATATGGGCCTACTGGCTGTAATGATGGTGGTGGGAGAGTTAAGGGGACTTACATCGAGCTAACTGCACTGTCAGCAGTGTACTGGCTCTACTGTGCACTGTATCCCACCAATATGGGCTAAATGTATAGTCTCTATAGTTCCAGTGAAAATGATCAGGATTTCTGTGTTACACGGTTCAGGACACTGCAGTACTATACCTGTCTAAATTTAGCCCTGGCCTCCTTCTCCTTCATTCGGCCATGCGCTACGAGGTAGTCAAACACCTCCCCTGCCAAGAAAGTTATAAACCACATCACACAGCGATCATGTACATAGTACATTCTCTACTGTCTGAGCATCTAAAAATAACATTCTGTATTCATAGATATCTTTGAGGAACAGATAAAAGATGGCATTACCAATGGATTTAGTAATGACGCAACATGTCTACTCACCTCCACTGGCATATTCCATCACCAGATAAAGGGTTTTCTCTGTTTCTATGACCTCAAACAGCTTTACTGTAGGTTAGAGAGGGACAGAGAAAAAGACAGATATTAATAATCATTTTAGATTTTGATTTGCTTGAACTGAAGCTCCAAGGCACCCATCATCCTTAATGCCAGCATTAGACAGTTCTAATTAATGTGTATTGTAGGAGGAGAACCACACAAAGGTGTCTGAAGCCTCAGGCAAGATGAGTGATATGTCAGATAGTGTTTTGCTTTATGTGGAAACAAGCACATCACTGCCCCTGCAGAAGCTTGTGTAGAGAAGTGAAAAAAAGAAATTAATTAAACCCAGAATGCACAATAAGACCAATACCATAGTGGGAGATGCTAAAAATGGCCATTTCAGTATTGGTCAGTAATCAAGACTTGAGCAATATTTCTTTTACACACATTAGAATTTTATTTAAGATCACTGTAGTACCACTGGGGCAGGATTAGTTTTACATATGGAAGTGGGCAATGCAATTTTAACCACAGGATGTCTGATGTTTCTAACCAATTTGGCCAAGATAAGAAATCTCAGAATAAATGATATGTAAGAATGGCTGCTTGGTTTACGCACTGCCTTCAGACTGAAAAAGACATGGCATATGTACAGATGCTGCAATCAAGATAAACTCACTGATTAATTAATTAACTATCCATGGTTATTTTTACAGTGTGTTTTATGGCGAATAATAGCCATCAGAATCTGACGTAGGAGCGCACAGCACATGAAAACCACTGACATGGTGGATTCGAACTAAAATCACTAAGAAACAACGATAATAATTACTTTACCCAACGTCCCCATGCAAAAGTAATTCTGTCCAAACTGTGCGTATGGTGTCCTGTACTCTGATGTGGCTTCTGGGACAGATGTGCATCATTAGTAGTTTGGAGACAACTAAACTAATGTCATACTTCATCATAAAGTCGTGTGTGTAGAGAATTCTTTTGACACACACAGGTAGCTCTCTGTCAGAAACAACTAGTGTGGGAAGTTCAGTTTGATTTGTGCCATTCTTTTTGATTTGTCTCCTATGTTCCTTTTCCCAAGCAGGTACTGGAAAACAACTCAGTAAGCTTCAAGAGGGCCATTCCCGCCAGTTAAACTCCTACTCTGCCACCTCATTATGACTGTACTGCGAATGTGATGTCTGTGTTTGAGATCCTGCTCAGAGAGCCACTTCCTGTTCAAAAGGAGTGACACCACCAAATCCCTGCCCACCTACTAGGCTTTTTTCCTTCAACAGAAATACTAAAAAAGTGGGTCATCAAGAGGAAAAAGGTGGCGTGTAAACAGACACAATGACCTCACACATGCCAAAGCAGAGAGTCCCCCAGGACAGAGCAGCTGATGCTCAAGGTATGTGTTTGAACAGAGCAAGCAGGCGATCACACAGGATGAACAAAACAGCAAGCACTGCTATGATGACCCCTGCACTAGGCCTGGGTGAAATCTAAAAATAATTAGCATGACATTTTTCAGGTAATAAAAAATGTGATCATTGATATGAAATTGATATTTAACATTGGCCTTCTCTCATTCTCTCTGTTATTTTCTCTGTTACATTTTTCTCCTATTTTTTCCCACCGATGTCCGCTTATAATATTTTATTATATTTACGTACCAAAAACAGTCCAACCTCAATTTATCATATGTTCTTTTTGGTCTTTAAGACCAACATACGAACGTATTGTGGCTCATTCAAAAAGCAGTCTGGGCTGAAACTCTCCTTAAAACATCAGTGTGAATAAGTGGGTTTTCATGACATCACAAAAACAATGATTTCAAGACCAACTGTTTTTGCAGTCCACAATATATAGACCGTATAGACTTGGGAAAGTGAAAACTATTATGTTTTGAAACTAACATTGTTTTCACAGTACACCAAACTCTTATTAAAAAAGGTAAATAAGTTCTTACATGATTTTGGCCCTACAACAGTAATTCAGTAACCCAGGCAGGTCAGTAAACTACTGTTCTAGGGCCCATATCATATTTTTCAATCAAAGTTACTTCTACAAAGCTACAAGACTAAAGAAGAAATAAAAGCTTCAAAGTTATGCCACATAGCATTACTCATGTGGTTACTGGCACTGTGATCTTAAAAAGCACCCATGCAACAGAGCATGCACAACGTATTTCCTGAATCACACCATTTCAGAGAGCCAATATAGTTCTACAAGTTCTGCAATTACTGACCTACTTTCAAGTTATCAAGTAAGTAGTCCAAAATGTAGAACTCATGCTTATTCATTTTGAACTGAGAGTGAAGAACTAAGAGTCTATCTTAGCTCCATGTCTGCCACCAATGAAGCTAGCCAGTAGTTACAACTTGAAGAATAAATGGAAGACTGTCTTTTATAGACATTCAGAGTTTGAATATACAACATAAGTGGAAAGTACTACTATTGAATTGAAAACATACATACAAACTCATCAGCACTGCATTATGATTGCCCAGATTACTAGAAAAAGCTACCATTGTTTGCTAATCTGACATAGAAAAACTAATTACAACTAAAGGTGGGTGTTTTCACTATAATAATAATAATAAATCTTTATTTATATAGCACTTTTCATGCCCATGGCAGTTCAAAGTGACTTATAGACAGGCGATAAAGCTTAACTGTAATAGAAGAAATTATGGGTATTAATTTTAGATCATATAATACAATGACAAAGACAAACTAAAAAGATAAATACCAAAAGACATAGAGCTTTAATTAAATGCTAGGTTAAACAGATGTTTTTAAATGTTTCTTAAAAGTACACAACATGTATCATGACATTAAACCTCAGGAAAACTAAATAAGTTGGAATAGTCAAAATGTGCTAGTAGTCACATTTAAAATAGTACCAAAAATAGAGTACAATGATTTTTATTTAACATTTCATGTAAAATTACTGCACTGAATCCAATTACATGTAATTAGGTATGCACTCATTGCAATGGAATATGCAACTGGTCAGTGCTCTTAAAGTACTGGCAACATCCACAATATGTCATATTGTGACATAGTTTATCACAATAATACCGTTATACTGTCTATGCCAATTAAAACAATGTGCAACACGGAACAACTGCTCTCCAAATCTGTTTAATTTAGCATTATGATGCGTCATTGTTGTTCTTGCAGCCCAAATGTTCACAACCACAGTGTGAACCTTGTTATTGTAAGTAGACAACTACAGAGATATGAATACAGATCTCATTTTAGTTGCTTGACCACACATGGTCCAAGGAAATCATGCTACTGTAATTTTTGTCAATCCATTCTATGAGACAGACAGACAGACAGACAGACAGAGAGAGAGAGGGAGAGAGAGAGAGAGAGAGAGAGAGAGAGAGAGAGAGAGAGAGAGAGGCTATTGGAGGAAGTGTGTTGTGAACAGAGTAGAACAGTTAGGATGTGTGTGGGCTAAGGCTGAGGAGTGGTAGCGATTAGCATCCCTCCCCCTCACTCTAAACACTTCACCTACATAACGTGGCAAAGATGCGTCACACACGTTCTTGCGCTTACTCATTCATACTGATCTGACATGCGTGCAGACACACAAAAAGAACATACAGTCTACACAGGCATTAGGAAATCAGTAGACATATTGAAGGTCCACAGATGGTCAGAGATTCTTAATGAAATCACACATCAACATATTTAACATTATTAACACAAACGGTGCAGAACACAGTAAAATGCAGTGAAACAAAGATCCCAGAGCTGGAAATATTTGTTCTAGGCCATCAAACGTCGATTCCAAATTTCCAACTGAAGTTTCTCACAGCCCCTCTCATATAACAGATTATGGCCTGAGCTTATTCATGCGTCAGTTTTACTCCCAAATTTATTCTTTTTCTTCCATAGAGATGACAAATTTGGCAAATTCTTCTCTTAAACTATTGTTATTACTCAACTGATTAAACCAACAAACTTAATATCATGGACACGAACCATGAAAACATCAAATATAACACTGTGTTTTACATAAAGCATGAAGCTTTTTTTGTCATGGGACTAACTACATAGTCAGTTAGCTAAGAAATACTATAGCTTGAGGTTACACTTAGCAGAAAAATCATCAGGGCTCTAGACTGCAACCAAAATGGTGGCATATGTGACCATTTTTTAAGACTGCCTGAGTTAAAATTTCACATGGACGCATTCGTGCGAGTGCATGATGATCATTAGGCATGGGTACTGCATTAGCCACTGTGGTTGAAAGTAGTAATTCTATTCTTCACTGGCTCAGTCGGTCTCTCTCTACCTGCATTTTTATCATCAGCTGCATATATGGCTACAGTGCACTGATGATGAAACGTACTAAACAATCCAGTTAGCAATTTAGTTACCATGTTCCAAAATGAAGCAGTCTCTGCAGAACTTGACTCCCCTTCTCATGCATGCACATCACATTGTCAGTTATTTTTAAGATTAATCTTGGCTACAATGTTAGCTGATTTTATATAGTCAGGAGGACTACTTTGAACCTGCCAAAATTATACTCCCCCTTATTTATGGAGGGCAAGGTCTGTTATAAATCAACCTTATTCTGGTACATTATCTTCATGTGTAGGTTATGTCACATAAAGCACATGTCCCTAAGTTCAACAATGGGGAGAGCAGAATTTTGGCAATGCTATTTTGACTCCTTAGAGTACATGTAAAAACATACATGATGTTGTGCTTTGCCTTTATTTGATAGCATTGTTATGTTTTCCATTAAAATTATTTAATAGAAAATTACCTATTTTATTAGTCACCTCTAATGGCAGAGAAACAATAAGATTATACTATTTCACAAACATTAAGTCTCGAGTCACTGTGAATCTTCACATCAATGCAAAACTAGGGTGTGAAAATGAAAACAACTATTCATCAGCAAGCAAGATTAATATGGAAAAAAAGGTGAGACCAGATCATGTGCTGGTGTGACCAACTGAAAAAGTTGGTAGCATCACTGCGACTAGTGGAAAAGTTAGTCTGGAGCCCTGATCATGTTGTAGTCTATTTTAGCACAGTCACATGTGGCTAAATATCCTAGTCATTTTTGTTGAGAAATACCAACATATCGCTGGTGTTGGAGCAAAACCCTAATATTCATTTTGTTGTTTTTCAGTTTTTAACATAATTTGAAAATGTCTGTTGCTCTTTACATTGTGCGTAAATTTCATGATGAATGGACCAAAAGAAATGGCACAAAATTACTTGAAAAAAATTCTGGTTTCATTGACTTACATTAAAAGTCAAGTATGTTTTTTTTTTCTTCTCCTGTAATCATTTTGGAGATATGAGACTTTGTTCCGACAGCAGCGATATGGTTATTATCTTACATAGTTTCACTATTGCCGACTGCATCTTTATTGATTGAACAAAGTGTACTTTGCACCTTCATGCAAACAACATGGAATATTGAATGAAAAACCTATGAAAGGCTGTAATATGTTCAACTGTTTATTGGAAATGAAATTTTCTTCAAAAGCATTGGTTGAACATTGATCCATTTGTTGGTTAACAATTACAGACATATATATTAGTTGTTCGAGGGCTCTGATCAACAAACAAATTTAACCCCTTAAACGGCCAGGGCTTATTACACACTTAGAATAGCTCAACCAGTTTGCACTGAAGTCCCTGTAGCAACTGAATAATACACCTTAGCCTGTAATAAGCTGGAGATTTTAAGGTGTTAAACTTTATTTTAGATAGCTTATAATTAGTCTATTCATTTTTTAAAATGTGATGATGGCTGTCAAGCTTGCTACTCCCTGAGCTAGTTCATCAGGTTCTGTGATTAGTAATGTGCTTTTATTTTGCTTCCAGTTGGTAGTAGCCTGATTCAGGCTGGGTGTGGGCTAGGGTTTGGACTCAAAACTTAGTGCTTTTGGTCAGAACAAGCCAGGTTTGGACTGAAATTTCTCAGGCTATATCTGGGTTTAGACCAAAATTTCAGGCCGACTTAAGCTCTAGTACAAGATCCTTCTCTTTTGCTTCAAAAATACACCTGCTGTGTGAGACAGGCAGATAGGGCTTGTGGGGGGCAGTGGGGTGAGTAAAGGGTGAGGGACACATGCAGCTAACCCCACCAAAGACAGAGACAGAGAGAAGGGGGTAGAGGCATGTGCAAGCTGTCAGATGATGGAGGCTCAACAATGACATACACAAAGAGGCTCACAGCAGAGCTTTTGTGTTGGTGGGAGGAGCTGCACGACTGGCCGAATGGGCACTGAGCAGCACCCCAGCAGAAAGCAGAGGGAACTCCTATAGAGGGGTTTAGAGAGGCTGCTTTTGGGGCCCAACTACTGCCTCAATCAACAAACAAATAAAAACAAACAAACAAACAAACAAACAAACACAAAACTCACCAATATTTGGATGGTTTAGAATCTTCATTATTCTTACTTCCCGGAAGAGCTTTAAGAGAAGAGAGAAAATGATTAGAATATGTAATACATACAATAACAACAACAATAACAACAACAATAATAACAACAACAGATCTTTGTTTACAAAAAACATATCCATATTTATATCAAAACTGTATCATAAGTAACTACTCATGATCACAACTTGTACTAATGTCTTATAAAATGTTAAAGGAATACTCCAGCCTTTTTCAACCAAGTATCTGCAATGTCTGCAGCATGCAGTTGACTACCACAGAGAATAATTACAATGCTGTTTTCAGTATTTATCTGCATGTTAATCAAGCCTTGACACTGTCTTTGTTGTGTCTTTAAGGATCCAGACACCAACCCGACGAAGAAGAACTAGCGCCAACTAAAGCCAACTGACAATCACCTTCCCTCAGCTCACCATCATCTCGTCTCCTGTGAAAGGTTGCACTCAAACGCAGCACAAAAACTACAGCTGACAGCTGACACACACATATTTATTGCGCCTGTGTGAAAGGGAACAATTCTCTACAGAAGGAACTGGCAGTATCAACTACCATACTGCAACACACAATGTAAAGAATATACTGTCTGAATGTCTTACAAGCTTTAAATGTCTGGGGTTAAGCTAAACTTCTTGCTGAGCTGGTCAAAAAGGCTACCTAAAAGTTAATGTTTGTACATATAATAGTGAAATAAAATTACTGGTTGGTTCATATTCATAATTACATGACAAACATAACAATATCAAATCATTTTCTTCTTCAGAGCATGATATTCCATCTGTATTGATAAAACACTGCTACCTGCACTGGTGCCAAAAAATGTGTGTGCCCTATTGAGAGAGCAGTTTATTTGCTTTGCTTTCTTTCATTTCTCTCCTCGTGCACTGATTCAGAACTCTTTCATGGCTGACTGCCGACGGAGATTCAACATGCTCAACTGGCCAAAACAGCACTGATGAAGACTAACAAACGGCGCACAATCTACAGGCAACACTCAGCCACAGATGATCACACCGATGGCCTGATGGCTTGGTGTGTCAGGGCCCTAACACATTATCTCCCACACTGAGTTTTTGTCCCGCACAGACATTCCTGAAGAAAGCTGGGTGGTAAACAGTGCCCAGGCCAATAGTGTGTTGTGCCATGCAAGACCCCCAGCCCCTTATTAACAGATGACCTTATGACCCTATCCCCTGGCAGGAAGATAATATGCTTAGGTGGCTGTCACCAGTGTGGTACAGATGCCTCAGTGAGGAGGGCACATCAGGCCAGCCCCCTGCAGACACAACACTACCAACACACTACAGTGTTTTCCTCTCCTCTCTTCTCACCACTTTCTATTAATTTTCTAATGCATCTTTCTCTCCTTTCTCCCACTCTTTTGCTGTGGTTTTATTTCTTTTGATCTTTGCCACTGAACTCTTGCTAAGGGTATTGGCATTTGGCTGCATAATCCCACTCTGGTTTAGCAAGTCCTTGGGCTGCCTTCCCTCTGAATAACCGTACCACACAGTAATAAACTTATCCTTACGCTCACATACATGCCATGCAATATGTGAAAAGAATGAGGGCACACAAGAAAAAAGTTTTGTATCTATTGAAGATATATAGTGTATATACTGCTGGCTATGCACTGATCATGAATTTTTATCATTGCTTACGATTTCTTTACAGTCAAATATGTTTTGTAAATTAGATGCTCACACTGTGGGGTTGGTGGAGGGTAGGTGAACACAAGAAACACACCAGAACATTTCCAGTACTTTCTATTTCTATTTGTTTTTAATAGACCAAACTGGCATTTTAAATTTTTAAATCAATTGCATATTTAAACAACAAGAATCAAACAATGTATTACACTGAAAGTAAGAGACAACTGGATATTTAGTACAGAGAGTGAGTCATAATGACACTATGACATTTTGGTACAGGTGTAGCAGCAGCATTCAAATACAGCGTGAATGTACTTATCCATCACTACTGTTGTCATTTTTAGTGGTGGCATTTTCCATTACCCATGTATGTATGTATATATTATATGCATGCATGTATGTATTTACCCTGTTCTTCAGTGGTCAGGACCCTCATGGACCCTCACAGAGCAGGTACTATTTAGGTGGTGGATCATTCTCAGCACTGCAGTAACACTGATGTGGTGGTGGTGTGTTAGTGTGTGTTGCGCTGGTCTGAGTGGATCAGACACAGCAGTGCTGCTGGAGTTTTTAAACACCTCAGTGTCACTGCTGGACTGAGAATAGTCCACCAGCCAAAAATATCCAGCCAACAGCGTCCTGTGGGCAGCGTCCTGTGGGCAGCGTCCTGTGACCACTGATGAAGGACTAGAGGATGACCAACACAAACTGTGCAGCAGCAGATGAGCCATCATCTCTGACTTTACATCTACAAGGTGGACCGACAAGGGAGGAGTGTCTAATAGAGTGGAGAGTGAGTAGACACAGTGTTTAAAAACTCCAGCAGCACTGCTGTGTCTGATCCACTCGTACCAGCACAACACACACTAACATACCACCACCACCACCACATCAGTGTTACTGCAGTGCTGAGAATGATCCACCAGCCAAACAGTACCTGCTCTGTGAGGGTCCATGGGGGTCCTGACCACTGAAGAACAGGGTAAAAGGGGGCTAACAAAGTATGCAGAGAAACAGATGGACTACAGTAATTGTAATTGTAGAACTACAGAGTGCACCTATATAGTAAGTGGAACTGATAAAATGGACAATGAGCGTAGAAACAGGGAGGTGGTCATAATGTTATGCCTGATTAGCGCATATATATATATATATATATATATATATATATATATATATATATATATATATATATATATATATATATGTGTGTGTGTGTGTGTGTGTGTGTGTGTGTGTGTGTGCACATTTTTTCCTTTGAAGAAAAACTAAAGAGAAGAGTGGTTGATATTGAGTATAACATCATGATGCTTAAAGACACGACGCACAATATTTTTCATTTTTTCCACATTTTACTGGTAGTGCCGCATTAAAAAAAAGCTATGGAAAACTGAGCACGATGATTTTTTTTCCGTTCACCATTTACTAATTTTTTTTTTTTTTCACTTTAAGCTGTGAGCTTGCAGATAATATACAATGACTTTGATTGTTAAGTAGTGCCTCAATCTGTCTTTACTATACATGCAGTTACTCAGTGTTGTAGAACTGCTGATGATACACACAATTTAGTCAGAAAAGCATACTGTGATATAATCTATCCCAACAACAACACCACATATTGTCATATTGGCCATCCCTACTAAAGCCAAATCACTAACATTACCAGTACCAGTAACTCTTTAAACAACACTGCAGAATGTCTTACAATCACTAATGGAACAACTTAACTGCATACAGTAAACACAATTACACGTGACGTGTAACTGTGAGACATGGCAAACAGCAAATGACCTGAGCCTAGATCAAAGTAGCCGTTTGTGGCCATGTGCCCAACTCTCAGAGCCTCAGCACAGGAGCTGCCCCCAACAGCATGGCTCCACAGGGAGAGGCATCTGTTGTCCACACACAACTCCAAGTGTAAAGGCTATATTTAGCGGCTAACATGGCCTGTGACTTTGAACATGAAAAGCAGTAACACAATCTCCGCATGGACGACCTTCGCCAGCTGAAGTTGCACTGGACAGCTAAATCTGGTACAAGACTTCTCATATATTCACTCACACTTTAGAGTTAGAACTATGACTCTGGACTGCTGTGTGCACAATGGACTACTAGGAGCCACAGACACAGGAGGTAACTGGTGCATTGCTCTCTGAATGGAACACAGGGCGCCCACATGGGAAGGAAGAAATTCATTAACTGACTGTGTTCATTAGCTGAAAAACACAGGACCACAAAACACAGCAGTGTGCACACATCTGGCTCCACAGTAAAAGTCAGGCTGCGATTAGAGGAAAGACACAAAACCTCCTCTTAAAGACGATTTACTGAGGCTGACGAGCGTGACATTACCCCACGGTTTGAGGGTTTAAAGGAGAGAGGGATGCTGAGCTCATGTGCGAGAGAGAAGCACAGAGCAAATAAAGAACTTGCCTAAAGCCACTAATCACTCAGTGATAACATTTAAAAAAAACAACAAAAAAACAAGCAGGCCATGCTAACAAGCGGAAAGCGTCCAGACGCAGCAGAGAGGGATGATGCTGAGAACGTCAGCTTGTTTCCAAAGCTCCATGGGCCAGACACGATGAGTCATCAGCTGCGTCTGCGAGTGTGCACAACGTGCAACTCTTAGGTGAAGAACAGAGCAATGACACAGCTTACAGCACCTGATGAAATAAACTATAGCCTATAGATCTAAAAATGCGCTATTCTGAAAGTAGAAATTCAACTGCAACAATTTTAGAAGATTGTAATTAATTATAATTGATTCAATAATATTCAATAAAGGATGCACTCATTTTCTGGTCAAAATAAAATTTCTGGGCCATTTTTAAAATTAAAATATGAACATAAAAAATAATAATTACATAATAATAAAAAAACATGTTCGTGTCTACATTAAACTACTGTGTAAACAGTTCCTCCAGACACAGTGTATACTTACATAATTCTGAATTATAACAAAGTAATCACTTGGGGAAATCTGAGATTTCATGATATACAGTGCTGCTTCCTGGAGAATAGTAATGAAACTAACCACCGTAAGGTCAAACAATTACACCTTAATCATGATCTGACATGAGAGAAAGGTGTGTAGTATGGAACTGAACATGCCTGTCATGCTAAAAAGGACAAACTGACCGAGAGGTCTTGACAATGTGCTGATGAACTAAAAAGCCAGGGTCGCCTACTTTAACACAGGATGTCCCAAACACAGCGGTAATTTTACTCTGGACCTTTGGGACTGGGTCGGCTTGTACTAACCCAGGGTAAGCTGGCGTGAGTAACAGGTTTATACATGTAGGTCGCTCTTTTCGCATGTCATTCGGGCCCACCAAAGATCAGATGAGCCAACACTGTTT